AAATGGAATTGGAGTCTCAAAGGACGAGCATAAGGCATTCATTTATTATCAAAAATCTGCAGAGATGGGAAATGCTGTTGCAATAAGTCAAATAGGATCTTGTTATCAATATGGAATTGGAGTCCCAAAGGACAAGCATAAAGCGTTCATATATAATCAAAAATCAGCAGAGATGGGTAATATGAATGCAATGATTAAACTTGGTGATTGTTATCGAAATGGAATTGGTGTCGAAAGAGATTTACAAAAAGCCAACTATTGGTATCGAAGGTAAAAATATTATTTAATTTTTGTATTTGTACAGTATATTAATTATTTATTAAATATTACAATATATATATATATAAACAGAGTAAAAAATTCAACGTTAGTTGCATATGAATGTGCATCTAAATGGGCTGGCATCGATAACGATTTAAAGAAAATGTTGATCGAGAATAAATATCAATTGCCATGGATTCCTTATGATGAATTCAACATCACTAGGATAATAGGAAAAGGTGGATTTGCAACTGTTTATTGTGCAAATTGGATTGATAAAAGCCGCAATTTTAGAGTTGATATTGCGCTCAAAATATTTGAACTAAATGATCATCTAGAATTTATAAAAGAGTTAAGAATCTTCTGTAAAATTAATGAGATATATCCATCATTTTTGAAATGTTATGGAATAACAAAAGATGATAAAGACAAATATATCCTTGTTTTAGAGTATGCTAATATGGGATCTTTAGGTAGAAATCTTTATGATGTATCACGAATGGATTGGAAAAGAAAGATAAAATTGTTACTATGCATAATTTCAGATCTTGATATGATCCATTTTCAAGGATACATTCATAAAGATTTACATAGCGGTAACATTTTACAAAAACAGATAGACAATGCATATATTTCAGATTTAGGCCTTTCATCATATATGAAAAGTAAAGCTGAAGGGATTTATGGCGTTTTACCGTATATTGCTCCGGAAGTTTTGCAAGGAAAACCGTTCATGCAAGCAGCTGATATCTACGCTTTCGGTGTCATCATGTGGGAAATATCAAGCGGTCGAAGACCTTATGATGGATTTTCATTTGATAATGATCTTGCAATAATGATTTGTTTAGGGTTGCAGCTTGAATTTGCTTCTGGAACACCCAATTGTTACATTGAATTAGCTAAGCAATGTATGGATCCCGATCCACAAAAAAGACCTACAGCCTTTAATATAACGAGTAAATTTAATGAATTGAATAAAAGTTTAGAGGATCCAAACGAAAACATATTTAAACTTCAATTCTCAGAGGCTGATAAAATAGTCTGCAATTTACCAATATATTCTCAAAAACATCCAGATCACATGTATACGAGCAAGCTCATCAACACGCGAGAGATCACTGAAAGATTATCAATGATGGTTGGTAGCAAGTCGATTGATACTCTTGAAATTCCTTCATGATTCTTAATATATTATCGTTAAATTACAGTTTTCTTTAGTTTCTTTTAAAATCAGTTATAAGAAATTCTGTTTTCTCTTAAATGTTTTATTTTCATTTTTTTTATATTAGAAGGTATTTTAGCCCACCCGCAAATATTCTTTATTAAAAATAAAATATGGGTTTACTTTATTAATTACACTGAAATAACATTAAAAAGAGTTACAAAATAATTCAAATATAAGTGAAATAGTTTCAGATATAGAAAAGAATTCTATTTGATTTTAAGAACTGTAGTATTATTTGCAGAAAAATATTCCCGCCTTTGTAACAATTCTAGGAAATAAAGAGAATAATAAAAATACCAAAAACTCATAGAAACACAGGAAACAACAAAGGTGATAATTATTAATCATTTGAATAACGGTATCTTTATCGTTATGAACAAATTAGTCTAGAATCTATTATAATATTTCATTTATTATAATATTTATTTGATTAATTGACAAATAAATCAATATGTATGAATCTTCCACAGAATCTATTCCATATCTAAAGCTTCCGGATCTTTTTTAGAAACCCTAAAAATTTCCCATTGACCAATTTCATAATTTCCAGAAGGTAATATAGCCGGTTGTTCATAATGACCATTCTGCTCTATATGGCAAAAGACACGATCCGGAACATTCCGACGTCCACTTCCAAACAGGTGCGAACGTCAAGGTTACACAAATCGCAGATCACTCCCGAAATCCTCCAGCCAATTAAAGTTTGATATCACATGCAGATCAGCCAATCACAGTCGATAAAATTTTTTTTTGTGCGTTTTTTAGACTTTTTGAGGAGCTTGCACAACTTATTTTTACGATTAAATATAAAAATACCTAAGCAAGCTTTAAAGTTTTCGCAACAAATTTTGATAATATTAGTTGAATCCCTTTGAATCCCACAGTTTTTATATTACGTTTCACCCAGCAAAGTTTATACAAGAAATATAAAAAAATAGGCGTTGTATGAATGCTAAACCACTAGATCGTCAAGTTTTAGTTCGCTGAGCAATAAAAACGTTGAAGGTAACAAATATCTATAAAGTTACAGTATATATTGTAATGTTGGCATATACTTTTTATTACGTTTAACATCAACTTCTAAATAAATATATATACGTAACAGTTTTTTACTAATTTTTTTTTATGTAATTTTTAGATTATGAGAAACGTTTACTTATATAGCTGAGATTTAGTTGGGTATATTTGCTAAAATGTAAATATATGCGTATATATACTAGTAAAATAATTTTGAGTAAATGAGAAGTTTAGAGTTAAAATGAGATGTAGTTTAAGTATATAGTTTAAGTAGTTTGAATATAGAAGCGAAAATAAAGATTTTTTTTATAATTAATAATTAATAGTTGATTAGAGAATTGAATATATAAAGACACATATTTCTATCTTGTAGTATTATTTAAGGTATATTTGTAATATTTAAGGTATTTTATTCTAAAGTTAAAATATAAGATTTAACAATTTTAATTGAGATCTCGTTCGATTTCGCATTAATACTATCTTTAAAATTCGTAATTTTGATTGGGTAGGAGGATCTCGGAAATGATCTGCAATTTGTGTGACCTTGACGTTCGCACCTGTTCCACTTCCATTATGGATAAATCTTAAATCATTACCAAATCTTAATATTAAATCATTGAGTTCTTTTCTATTAGTACTTATTTTCTTAGAGGCGATTGCTTCATCAAAATTTACAACACGGCTTAATCGATAATTTACTCCATCATTCACACCTACATCATAAGAAAAAATAAAACTCTGAAGTATATCTGTATTCGATACCTATTGGATAAACGCGATATGAACCATATGTCCAATCGAGGGGATTATAAGCACCAACAATTTTTCCATTTTTTAATTTCATTAACATCAATGAAGGTTCATGATGGCATTTCATGGTTGGCAATAACCTATTCGTTGATTGATTATAAAATTGTTTAGGATAGAAAGCCGTATGATTATTCATACGAAATATAGGTGTAAATTGAAATGGCATATTAGATTTAAGGTATAAATCTTTTTCAGGATCTTTTTTATCAATCCTTGTTAAAAAAGTCGCTATCAACAATCTTTGATTCAACAGGAGAATTAGTACTTTTGGTCATTACCCTCATTGGTTGATCATCTTTTCTTCTGACTTTATAAACATTCCATTCTTCGACCTCATATATACCTTCAGCCAATGTAGTTGGCTCATAAAATTTACACTTAATATGACATCTAAGATTTTCTTTATCAAATTTAAACATTAAATCTTCACCGAAATTTAAAAGGCCGCCAAAGTCACTTACTAGGCAGACAGCATGATCAAAATTTTTAACTCTACATAACCGATAATTTGAACCATATTTATCGTCATAGGTAAAAATAAAATTTTCTGATGTAGAGCCACAAATGCTACTTTGAACCTTGTTTCCATTGAATGGGATTGTAAGCACCAATGAATTTTCCAGAATTTTTAAGTTCATTATCATTAATGAAGGACCCTCGTAACATTTTATTGTTGGTAACTTGTTCGAATAATGATGAAATCTATAAAGTTGAGTAGAGAATTTTGATTTATCATGCATGCGAAAAATATGCCTAAATCTGAATGGACTATTAAACCCAGTGTATTGGGATTCCATATGGTCCCTTCTATCAATCCAAGAAATGATCAATCCAGCAAATTTGTTACTAATAACCTTTGGTTCAACTATATAATTAGAACGAGGAGGAATTTTATATAAAACTTTTTTATCTGGTAAGATTTGTTCATATTCAATAATTGAACCTTTAATATTATCATATCGAATTAACTGTAATGCTTCTTCAAGAATAGTTCCTAAAGCATTAAACCGAGAAGTTTTATCATTTATGGTATTATAATTTGGAGTGTTTGCAATGCCCCCATTTAATTAAATTATTATTTTGATAGTTCAGACAAGCAAATCATGTCCATCTTCAACATGCTAAGTAATAATTCCTCATCAATCGATAAAAATTCCGAAGACCAAACAAGATCGTTGGCCTTTCTGCTACCATATCCTGGCAAACTAAGTGGAGATCTTGAAGGGATGAAATTCGGTAAGAAACTTTTAACATATAAATAATTTCATTATCTTCCCAATCCGTTTTATTTCTTTCTAATAATTCAACTTTAAAAAGTCGAGAAATTCACGAAGTAGTAGGAGATCAGATACCAGTAATAATTCTATTGAGATTGTTATCTAGATCTTTTAAAGTAATTGTTCCACTACAAATGCCCCTATGAATTTAAAATCATAATTACGTATTATTAGTATTGAAATTAATACAAAATTAATATAAATATATGGGGGGGTGCCAGTAGAAACCAAGCAATTTGTTTTTAGTGAGTTTTTTTTAAATTTTAAATTAAAATATCTC